GCATATAGGCTGTCAACATATAAAGTTACACTTTCGGACATAAACAACGATCTTCCTGATCTAGATCATTTGATAAAATATAAACAGAGGCTACGAAAACTGTGGCAAGAAACCAGGGATCCAGCGTGTAAAACGGCAGTGAATTGGGTCACCAAATCAATCAGGCGAATGACTCGTAAAAGGGCACTTGAACGGTGGGAAACAAAAATAGGTAACGCTGAAGTCACACCTCAGAGTATATGGCCCATTGCGAAATCTCTCCTCAAGAGAGACGGACCAAGGGAACCAACTGCTATTCATTGTCCTTCAGGCCTTATATTTGACCCTTTCGAAAAAGCCAAAGCAAATGCTGAGTGTTTGGAAATTCTGTTCACGCTGCACGATGTGTGCGACGATAACCATGAACGGCGGGTGGAGGCTAGAGTTCAAGCTCTGCTCGAAACCGTAGACGAAAACCACCCTCTAAGGATCACACCATGTGACGTTTAGAAATTAATAAAATCCCTGAAATTAAAAGAGGCCTGTGGAATTGACGGCATTCCAAATGAATACCTCAGGCACCTTCCAAGGCGACCATTGTTTCACCTAACTCATCTGTTCAATCATTGTTTTCGACTTTCTCACTTTCCAAATACTTGGAAGGAAGCAAAATAATAACTTTACCTAAACCATGTAAAGACCCGAAATTTCGTCAAAATTTACTTCCGATCTGCCTCCTGTCCACGACAGGAAAACTATTCGAAATAGTAATTTTGAAATTCCTCCGTAAACACATTGAAGAAAGAGGCCTGCTCAACTCAAGTCAGTTTGGTTTTCGTGCACCTCACAGCACGACATTGCAATGTATGAGGCTTGCCGACCACGTGATCCTTAATTTCAACAATAAAATGTCTACGGCTGCAGTGTTCTTCGACATCGAAAAAGCCTTTGATACCACGTGGCACTCAGGATTGCTGTATAAGTTATCAAAATTGGAATTCTCGAACAGTTTGACCAAACTTATTGGGTCCTTTCTCTCTAAACGTAAATTCAGGGTCTCGGTTGAAGGCGAAATGTGAACGCCAAAGGAAATGCAAGCAGGGGTGCCACAAGGTTCTGTCCTTTCCCTTACTCTTTTCAACTTGTATATTAATGATGCCTCCCAAACACATGGTGTTCACCTGGCCCTCTTTGCGGACGACACCTGTCTATATGCGACAGATCGCAAGGAGGGTTTTATTGTTAGAAACTTCAGCGCGGTCTCAGCTCAATGGAGACCTGGTGTGAACGCTGGAATATAAAAATTAATGAAGATAAGACTCGGGGGGGCTACTTCTCTCGTGGTCGTCGACCGCCTGAGTCTTGTCTTACTCTAAATGAAAAAAATATTCCATTTGTAAATAGTGCAAAATATCTAGCTGTAATCTTCGATGAGAGAGTGACATGGAGATTACACATAGAAATGCTCGAAGCCAAGGCCTTCAGAACATTCATTAGAGTATATTCCTTTTTCAAAAGTGAGCGATTGAGCGCTAACATTAAGTTGACCCTCCATGAAGCTCTTATTTGATCTGTAATGCCTTATGCTAGTCCCGCCTGGGGGTTTGCGGCAGACACCAATCTAATGAAACTGCAGCGCCTGCAAAACAAGGTNTGAATAATACTGGAAACAGTGCGTAATCTGCTGTACTGAGCCTGGACTGACAGAGGCCTTGTATAGATTGTACATAAAAGAAATAAGTGTGTATGTAAAATTATGTAAATACAGACAGTGAACATATTAATACAGACTGACTGACAAATGACAGACCCGACCTCTCGCCAGAGAGGGCGCCCCACACAGACAAGACAGTAACTTTCATTCAAAAGTAATATCTGTTCATGAGCTCCAGCTGGGGCTTGACACCAAGACTGACAGACTGACTGACCGTCGGTTGTAACATGACTTTGACTTTGCCAAATCAGTCAACGATCAATCTACGATCAGTCAACATCAGCCAGCACACTTCGTCGCCAGCACTCGGTCTTCGGAGGCATCGGCACTTCGCTGCGCCAGGCACGACTGCATCGGCTGTCCGGCGGACACACACCCGACTCACTGGGCAACTCGGCCGCCTCGATTCGCCGGTAGTCATGCCCGATACACTGGTCAACTGGCGTAGGTACTGCCTATCCACTCCAGCGACCGCGCTCGGCAACCAGAATTCCATCAGCAGCTGCCGGACTGCGATCAAGCAACGGCCGCACTGCGGCCAGTCCACACACCGCAACCAACATCCCTTCTTACCGGCGCGCGCGTGCTACTTCACCGGCCAAGCATCTCAGCAACCAACGGTTCTTTTCAGGACCTACAAACTGTTCCGAAGAAGTGGGTTGTCATTGAAGTAACGACAAGACAAAAGATCCCCACAAGGGTATCTAGATATGGAAGCTTTAAGGTTGCAGCAACTCTATTAAGTGGTCCGAATTCTTTACGAAGAATTCAGATTTTACATCAAGAGGACCCAGTACATTATGGATAAAATCAGCTAGGGCATAGCAAGGCGAACCAACAGAACTCACTATAGGCCTCAGAAGAATGTCAGTTTTGTGAATCGTGGGAAGAACTTATACGTAGATGTGGTTTGCTCTGGTCTGGAGACAGCTTGTGTTTTAGATCTGTAGGATGAACAATTATGTGTTTAGGAAGTTCATTTACTTTTCTCTCAACCTTACCTGTATGATCTTGGGCAAGGGTCCATAAACCCCGGACTCTAGTAAAGTATTTCACTTATCCTTGTAGTAGTATTCATCCAAGTCCACCGTGCAATTGCTTTTGTCTGCCTAAAGAATCTTAATATACTGAAATGGGTTGTCCAGTGATTGAGGTTATCTCTAGGACACCCAACGGAGTAGATTTTTCCACCCTCACTTGAGGACTGAAACAGATACAATTTCCAAAACGTTGTGATCTCTAGTCTTTAGAATAGCAGATAGACGAAGTAAAATAAAACAGTAATTCTTAGTGTTACACACCATCGTCATAATCCTATAGAACCTACTCGGAATGACATATGCTGACCTCTTATCTCTTATGGCTTATTATATCTCTAAGTTTCAAATTAGTAGACAGTTACTCTTTGGATATTGTCTCGTTTTTCCTGAGGTTCCTGATGCTATAAATGTGATTATTCTGTACATGGTTAATCTTTTTTTTTTTCCTGACGTTCCGTATGATAAAAATTTGTTTATCTTGTAAATGTTTTTTTTTTTTTTTTTTTCAATGTTGTTACGTTGTTATATAATTAGCCGTAGGATTATGGCCATCATGGCTGGAAGACGATGAGTAAGAAATAGCTGCTAATGTAGTGCATCGAAGTTGGAATAAATTAATAATATTGGGCCTGGAAGTCTCAGTTATTAACGCCCTTACAACACGAATTAACCTCAAGTAAACTGTCGCCAAAGTGTAATCATTGTGAAGAGTACAACCACATGACAGTGTGTTTGTTTTTCGTACAGCGCGTGAAATCAACCGGAAGGATACATGCTTAGTGTTGGTGGTTTCTTTAATCAGCTTTATTATATTCACAAGTTTTAGCTGAAAATAGACTGTATTTGAAATAATAGAGCCACGTGAGAATAAAGGTGTTGGAAAGATAAAGGCATAAATGTGATGTTTTTATGTATACGCTTTAGAGACCCCACTGAATATCTGTGGATGGTTATAATAAGATTCTTGAATGGAAGACGAAATGCAGTGATAAAAATAGCGCATTAAAGTGTAAATATAGCTCTAAAGCACAATACATCACTGTGGTCGCGGTGCAAGGGCCAAGAGGGCCCACTCCCTGTACATTCAAATATAGCTCTCATCTGGACCCTTCTAGTTTTTTTATTGCCATTGACCACTGAATTCATTATATATTTGTAAATTTGCCCTTCAAATATAAAATTTTGATGAAAATATCCAATAAATGCATTGTATACACCCACATTACATGTGAACTGCCGTTTATGAGATGTTCACACTAAAACTATCGAATTTGAAAAGGTTCATTCTTGCAGAACATAATATATTTGCCATTCCTTACAAGTAGTGTGTGACTGAATATGAAAGTCAAGTGGTTAGTAATCCTTATGGCTTCGGTTAAAATCCCTACCTGGAGACCAAGTATCTCAATAAGGTATTTTATGATTTTCCTCAATCCCTCAAGACAGATGCTGGGATAATGCATCAATTAGGCCATGACTACTAATGCATACTTTCCAATACATTATTTTGCAGTTGTCCTGTCATTTGTTGCTTTGTAATCAGAATTGTCAACAGTGGGGTTAAACTGTAACTGTAAGAATAAGTGTATGCTACACTGAATGATGTGTGTAAGGTAGTCCTTAAGTGCAAAGTTGTAGCTGAGTTATATTTTAATTTCTATTTGTTTAGATGAGTTCAACATGTGACTGGCAAATAAAGAAGCAGAAAATCAGTGAACGAGGTCAGTATCTGCTACAGACAGCCCAATGGAGTGACTGCAGATTTATTGTTGGGACTGAACCTTGTCAGCAGGTACACAGTAATAAGAACCTGCAATATAACGGCTCCTCCCTCATTTAATGTTCTTGCTGCAGTTAAATTATTTCTTTATCTTGATTGAGAATAGTGTTGGTAACCTTTTACCATTTTCAGAGGTGTGTGCACTCTGTTTTGATATAGACAACATTTTTTTATAATTTTGGAAGATATTTTTTGTTTATTTCATTTTGGTCTGTCACACTAACAATATCATAAAAGGTTAAACAGTTCTGTCCTGTGTGACTAGTAAAGGTTTCCCCTATTTCAATCCTTCATCCCTTACATTTTTTGGTCTTTACAGACCATCCTCAGAGGGACATCAATACATCAGAAGCCACTATTAACAATATGTGTTTGAATGCCAAGATATATGTGTATATATATATACATACATACAATGCTGACAAAGTACAATGGGTACACAATGCGAACACCTACAGGATGACATTAAAGAATCCTCCATGGTTTATGCTGACCATCTTACAGTGTATACACTTTTTCACCTTATTCTTCACTTCCACACTACATGTTTCAGCACTATTGTGGCATCTTCAGATGTCTTTATGCACGTTAAACTATTGTACTGCATGCCATAATGTCTTCATTCTAAAATGACTAAAATCTGTATTCGTCATATAGGACAATGAATTGTAAATAATAAACTTTTCAGGATTCTTCCTACGTCGCACTCAAACATGCGAACTACGCCAATCCTCTTTTATGTGAGCATTCATCCTACATATATTTGTGTATCTGTAATGTGAAATTGTTATTCATTAATACCACTTTCTGACTTTTATCTGTTACATGTGGCTTTATAATAATTAATACTCACCATGTTCTGTGTTGTGTTTTGCTCCTGTTACTGCATGCATGGATATCATAGCAACAAATAAGAAAGGACAATACTTAAACACATTGGAAAACTATCATATATACAGAACGACAAAGAAAAACACACATATGAACAATATAAATAAAGATATATATAACCCAGTATTTCACGAATTACATACTATTTACACAGAACAGCATAACAACACCCCACCTCCTACCCCCACAACATCATAACACAACCAAAATGAAGACAGCACACACACACACAGATCCAGCAGTACAATGCATGCAGTAACAGGAGCAAAACACAACACAGAACATGGTGAGTATTAAATATTATAAAGCCACATGTAACAGATAAAAGTCAGAAAGTGGTATTAATGAATAACAATTTCACGTTACAGATACACAAATATATGTAGGATGAATGCTCACATAAAAGAGGATTGGCATAGTTCGCGTGTTTGAGTGTGACGTAATGCTCCATACTGGTATTTGGAAAGTGCTTTGTTAGAATCTCAGCTGGGACACTTGCCTGTCATCACATGTTTTCATTGCTTTCCTCAGTCTTTCCAGGCAGATGTCAGGATAGTATCTTGATTAGGCTCCATGCAGTTCATTCCAGATCTTTTCCAATTCATCAGCCAACATTAACATTTAACAATATATAGTTTAATCTTAATATTGTACCTCCTGTTGTCTGTCATAAATAAGATATGTATATAAAGTATAGAATATACCAACTACTGCATCAACATTTCCTTTTACTATTATGTTCATTAGAGACGCAACATGTTTTGACCCTTTCATGGTCATCATCAGGCGTACAATGCACCAGTCTGAGCTGTTGAGTTGCAATCAGTTGTCATTTTATTCCTTGAATAAGGATCCTTATTGTGTCTTGAAATTAAATTCAAATGTAAATGTATAACAAATCTTGGGCGAAATTTAAAGCTAAAACCCTCAGATAAAAATCGTGTTTAAAATTACAGAAGTAAATATAAGAAATTAAAATATTAAAACAATAGAACAAAGATTAAGGCATGAAAATTAATATAGTGTTTTGTTGGTAACACTATGCAATCGCTATGTGTAGGCCTGGTTTTATGCTGGAAGCAGCAACTACAGCATGGGGGGCCCGCATAATGGATGGGTCATGTAGCCGTGACCTTGGTAATGTCTTAGAGAGCTTAACCTTTAACGTATGGACTTTGAAATTGCCAGCAGCCCTCTACAACTGGAATTTAAATGGCCCTAAATCTTTAACATGGCAGATTTTCAGAAAAAAACTAGATATTTTCCGTTCTATGCAGCATAGAAATATGAACTAAAAAGAACCTGAAAGGCAAAAAAATTTTCTACATATACACAAAAGAGCAATTTTTACAGACGAAAATAGCTGTGATTATTTTGTCATGAAATGCAATGTATAATCTTTATTATGTTATGAAATTCCAGAGGACTTACCTGTAGTTTTTTTCAACCTTGAGACTTGGTGATATTGTAAATATTATCACACTATATACAGTAATATTTTGTTCAGACTGTACGCGAATTTGAACTGCATCACTTCACAGTTTACGGTACCTCACACTCTGACGCACGTGTGCCACTTCTCGAAGCAGTCCATGACACACAGGGCAATATCACACTTTTTACAATAGAAAATGGTGCTCCTGCTTTTCTTATTTAACGAACATACACGACGTATTTGTTTCCCTTTGGTTGGGCAGTGTTGTGAATGTTTCACCTCCAGTTGAGTCAATTGGGCCCCAGATGAACTTGGCCTTCCCTGAGAAACGCCACTGACTGTGATATTCGCCTTATGCGATTGAAGAATCATCTTGGGGAAGGGGGGTGTCCATCTAAATCGAATATTTTATGTTGAGTGACAAAGCGATACTTTCACCTGTTAGTAATACTCGCACAATAGTGATGCAAAGTAATTATAATACTATTCAAAAAGAGTGCCAGTCTGACACTGATACTGAAAGTCACAGTGATGAAGATGCCTTTTACTCACAAAGTAATACTGGCTCAGTGGGTTTATACCTGATCCGAGACAAAATAAAACAATATGTAAAGTACGTAGGTCGTACCGAAAGTCATGAGCAACTTTTTTTTTGCTTGCAACCTGGGAACAGCAGACAAAAGAGAGTACGGCGGTAGGTGGAACCAGCTGTTGTGTTAACCTTGAGTGTCTTGTGACATCAATAGCTTGCATCACGTGACCAGTATCACTCCTAACAAAATGGCCGACAATGATATGTCGTTTTGCCACTGTGCTGTCATCAAATTTCTTGTGAAAGAGGAAATCCTGCTGCAGAAGTTCACCAAAGACTTCAGCGTGCTTATGGAAGTGTGTGCATGGGTGCGAGCAGTGTTCGAAGATGGGTGAAACATTTTAAAGATGGAACACCAGCATTGAAGATGAGCCTCAGAGCAGTCGTCCTCAAACAGCCTCAACTGAACGCAAAAAGGAAAGAGTGGATGAGATCATTCAAGATGACAGGCATGTGACTGTGGACACAATAGCCCGAAAACTTGGAATAGGGCACAGTGCAGTACAGGAGATGATTGAAAGTTTGGGCTATAGGAAAGTTTGTGCTTGTTGGGTCCCGCGGTTATTGACCGAAGACCACAAAGGTCAGCGAAAAGCCATCACCTCAGAACTGCTGCAGAGATATTGACACGAAGGCGATGATTTTTTGCTCTGTATTGTGACAGGTGACAAAAGCTGGTTTCACCATTTCGAGCCTGAAACGAAATGGCAAAGTATGGAATGGCACCATTTGCATTCTCCATCAATAAAAAAGGCAAAGACAGTGTCATGAGCTGCTGAGGTGATGGACACAGTCTTCTGGGATGCAGAGGGGTTTATTCTGGCTGAATTCCTGGAACCTGGGCAAACCATCGGTGTTGCTCATTATGTCCAGACACTGCACAAGCTCCGTTGTGCATTGCGCAATAAACGTCCGGGACGAAACATCATCATCCTGCATGACAACACTCGCCCCCACATTGGAAGCAATTGCAGAAATGGGGTGGGAAATTATTCCACACCCCTCCTATAGCCCTGATCTGGCACCCTCCGACTACCATCTTTTCGGATTTGTGAAGGATCAGCTGCGTGTACAGTGTTTTGAGACAAGGGAGGCAATTCAGAAAGCAGTGTGTCAGTGTCTTCGGTTGGCTGGAACATAATTTTACAGAAGGGGAATTTTCAAACTCCCAGAACGCTGGGAGAAATGTGTACAAAGAAGTGGCGATTATGTGGAAAAATAAAGAAAGGTTTGTAGATTGAGGTGGTATATTTGGTTTGTCAATAATAAAGCATGTTACTTTACAAAAAATTGTTGCTCATGACTTTCAGTACGACCCTCGTAATAGATGACAGTCTGACACTGACTTTCTAACTGATAGAGAAAGATGACAATCTGACACAGACTTCCTAACTGATAATTCGCTACTGAAAACCAATCCTTGATTACGTCATGCTTCCTTGAAAGCTCTAGAAGCACTAACATGTGAGCACAGATGCATATTACTCCTCAGTTCTCAAAACTAAAGCTGGGCTCTATTTGGCTGACCAGGTCATAAACAGTCATATCTAAACGAAAATAGTATTGAAACCAGTACCATGATATACGATTTCAATGTTCAGAGCTAATGAATGAACCACTGACTTATGACCTTGCATGGTGTTTTTTTGGTTTCAAACCAAAGATCAAACTGTCAGCACTCCCAAAGAGTGCATGAGTCCCGCGGTATATAATCTAACATTTGTCCAACACAGGGTCCTAGTGATTGAGACTAGCTCTTTCTAAGGGGCCCAGTTGAGTAGGTTTAACCAGGCCTATCCACCTGAAGATGGAGACAGATCCAGTCTCCGAAACGTCGTGGTTTTTTGTCTTTTATATACCAGACGATGGGTGAAGTCCAAAATAAGCCAAAAGAAGTACAGTATACACCATCGTCAGAATCCTTTCAAGTCCAACATAATAAACAGTTTCATAATGTGTACCCTTTGTTATTGAGTTAAATAAGGAAGGATAAGATTGATGGAACATGTGACATACTTGTGAGAAATCAAATATGTATACAAAGCTTTGGTTTCAGAACCTCAGGGGAAGTGACATGTGTAACTTGGGTGTGGGTGAGATAATATTAAAATTGGTCTTTGTGATCTAACATGTTAAGATAGATACTGATTATGTAAAAGTGTGGAGTTGTTTTAGTATCTGAGCAACAGTCGGTTGCTCAAAAAAAATGTCTGCTTTGGAAGCTGATGAGTTTTACTCCATGTTTAACATATTTTACACAGATTTCTCAGAATGAAAGACTGACAGACATTCACAATTACGATAGTGGTACTTTCAAAGCATAGTGTACCATGTTATGTGTACATATAGGTAACCATATATACATAGATGGGCAGATGGACTGACTGACAGATTTGGAGAAAACTGTAATAAAACCAAAAATGACATACTCTTTGTATTAATCAGTGTTGCACTAGCAGTTTTTTAATTATTTGTTATTAATATGCAGTAGTACTATGGCATCACTGATTGAGAGTTTACATTGCACAGGATCAGTGTCATATTTTAATCTGGTAGTTGAAACGGATATCACTAATATTTGTGTTTTGTTTTTCAGGAGTTTGGAGGTCACAAGCTCTTCCTGGCAATGTCAAGTCCAGTTTTTGAAGCAATGTTTTTTGGCGGAATGGCAGAAAAGAATGACCCAATCCCTATTTTGGATGTGCAGCCAGATGCTTTCAAGGCATTACTAGAGTATGACATTTTTGAACTTGTCTTTTTTTAATCTGTTTTGAAGATGTTGGGAAAATTTAGAGTATTTTTATATTGTACAATCACATGCGTTTAGGATCTAGGTGGCTGAGAGGGGGACAGTGTTATCATAAAGTCTGTAAAATTTCTAGCACTTTTATGTACCAGTTTCTCCTTATAGGAAAGTACCATGATAACAACTGAATGGGTTTTTTTTATTGCTAGTGGGGTGGGACTAAGTCCCTTGTACTGTGGCCACTTCTGGCTTATTGTACCAGCCCCAGATGATACGTGAGGGTGATTGTGGAGCAATTGATGGAATGAAGATTGGCAGGGGAAACTGAAGTACTCAGAGAAAACCTGCCCCAGAGCTACTTTGTCCGCAAATCCCACTTGACCAGACCCAGGATCGAAACTGGGCCACCGCGGTGGGAAGCCAGTGACTAACCACTTGAGCTATGGCGTGGCCTAACTGAATGGGTTAGTGTTACATGATAGTGCAGGTGATGTGTTCATGAAGTACATTGTTTGGATCTTTCCCCAAGCATCATGTATCCGGACTGAGGCTTTGTGATTTCCTTTGGTCCTTCCAGGCGAATGCCAAGATCATGCCCTGATATAAGCCATGATGAGATCATATGTCACCAATATCTACTCTTTTACTATTAGTCACTTCAGGGTGAGCCGTCAGTTTGTGCAAATCATTTAAACATGTGCATTATTGACAGAGCTATGCTTCCTTCTGAGATGTGACACCACCATAGTCCAAAATTAATCCTGGTCACCAGTCATTTTTGTTATTATACAAACAGCAGCAGAAAGCATAGAAACACTGCTCATGTTACATTTTTGGTAGTAAATTATTGTCTTTACACAAAGCCATCCATAGGACCATATTCTGAGCCACTTCATATCTTGAGCATTTTTCTCTGAGATCTGTTTTAATATTCTACTGCCATCTACACTTGACCTGCCCTTCTAATCATATTTTTCTATGCAGTTCTTGTTTTATCTGCTCATGTTTGATGTAAATATTCTAACAATGTTGCGTGAAGAATACAAACTGTGAAATTGGTTTTGTAATTGTCTTCCAGTCTCATCCTCCTTGATTCACTTGCTATAACAGTACAATTGTGCAACTAGTTTTGTAATTCTTCTGTCCATCTCATCGTCCTTTATTCTTCAATTACCATTACACTATTAGGTTACAGTTACATATTGTGAAACTGATATTGAATTAGTCTCCATTTTGTTGTTAGTTCATATTGTTACACCCTTTTTGGTGAAATTTTAAATGTTATGTCAAGATTAATAATGGAATTAAATAGTACCTGTATTCCTAATATGTGACAGCTTGGCATTGTTAAATGGTTTGTTACACACGCACTGAAGTACCGCAACCATTAAAGTTAAAATTATACCTGTACCTAATTAATTAATTATGCACTGTGCCCTGAAGATGTATGGGGGAGTATAAGTATAGCTTCACCATTCTTAATCTTGGCTCTGGAAGGATGTGAGTGGTCAGCTTCATGCATGTGATACTTTACTCCCATGGAGGCCACTGGTTGCCATTGTATAGGAGGCTGGGAGTGCCCCAGAGTTGGTCTGCATGGAGAAGAGAAAAATCTCTTGCTCCTTCCAGGAATTGAACCCCAGTTGTCCAGCCCATACCACCTCAAACATTGGTAAAAATTAATGAAAAGTGTGTCATGCAGGTGGATCCGTCATTCATGAGCCATGATGAAAACACCTTTTGTGAATGTTTCAGGAATGTTGTTAAAGTTTTGTCCCTTCAGGGCATATTTTAATTTAGCAAAGAGCCAAAAATCGCAGGGGATTAAGTTAGGTGAATAAAGTGGGTGGTCCATTTTTGTAATAGATTTCTTAGCCAGGAACTCACGAACTCTTAATGGCATTGTCAAGGTGAAGAATCCACTTGTCAGGCCAGAGATCGAGTCTTTTCATCCGAACAGATTCCCGTAACCTTGTTGGCACTTCCAAATAACACTACATCTATCCTTTGCATTTTTGGCTGCCCACTCTTTATGTCATCTTGCACACCTTCTCGTCCTTCCTTCAACTGCCTATGAATTTCAAAAACACTCGATTTCTTTATAGCATGTTCACCATGAGCCACTGTTAGGCCGCGCCATAGCTCAAGCGGTTAGTTGCTGGCTTGCCACCGTGGCAGCCCGGGTTCGATCCCAGGTTTGGTCAGGTGGGATTTGTGGTATACAAAGTGGCACTGGGGCAGGTTTTCTCCAAGTACTTTGGTTTCCCCTGCCAATCTTCATTTCACCAATTGCTCCACAATCACCCTCACCTATCATCTGGGGCTGGTACACTAGGCCAGAAGTAGCCACAGTACAAGGAACTTAGTCCCACCCCACTAGCATTAAAAAAATGAGCCACTGTTAATAGGGCTACTGTTTTACTAGCATTTTTGCCAATCTTCACACATAAGTTCATGTTTATCTGCTGCTCCAGATTCTTGTCACTCATTTTTCCACCAACAGTACCACGGACACCTACTACTTCCTCTGCTGCTTGGCTCATGTAAACGCAAATTGGAACATGTCCAAACCTGCTTGGGTACATGAGTTTGCCTGAATTGACACCCCAGTGACATGCTGTGACCATTCTGGGAATTAAATTGTTGGTACCTTGTGCTAACTTGTACATCATAATCTGCATCATTCCACTCATTAAACCCTTGTTCACTCCACTAGAGCAAATCTTGACATTGTTGAACTTTATTACAACACATTGGCTCTCATTTTGTAAAGAAATTGACAGTACAGGTTTCAGTAGCTTTGATGTGGGTGCTCATCATCATATAAAATGCATCTAGAATCAGCACTTCTTTTACGATGTGCGATGAAGTTCTGAAACTATCACCTGTTGATTCGATGGTTGTCTCATATCCAGTCTGTAAAAGTTCTTGAAGGTTTGTATAATTCCCTGACTAAGGGCATGACTCAAGAAAGTGTTTCAGAGTAGAACTAATTCAGTATATTGTAAATTTAAGCTTTGATAGGCTGGGAAGTTGTTCAGAATTAGTGCAATTTTTGTCTTCTTACCTACTTGGACAGATATTATTCAGATTCAGAATCTGTCATCCAAGCATTGTAGCTGGCGTATTCAGCAGGTAGATTTTTGAACTCCTTTGAAATGTGAGTCATTTATTTTTACCTATCACTGAAGATCTGATTTTGAGTGTTCATTTTATGTTTCAGGGTAACAGTGATCAGGTTTGCATTTTAGTATAGCACCATTTCATCTATTCAGGATATGCCTTGATCTCTAAGTTATTCATACAGTTGACCATGCAGGTTTTAACCAATTGTCAGCTGCTGAGTCGTTCAAATCTTGTTTTCCTCTATGAAGATTTCTTATAAACAAAGCAGTCTCTTTCCATCTCATCAACCATTTATTGGTCATTTTAAACTCTTCTTTTACCTTATCAAGATAACTGGCTTTTTGTAAAAGAATGTGTTTGTTTTGAGCATTCATCAGCTTGACCTGTTTGAACAAACCTAGAAACACTTCACTGATGATTTGACTTTACCTTCATGCTTTCTTTTGTCTTCACTTCTCATGTCATTCACTGTGGGCTACTTATCTGTTACACTCCAATTTGTTCTCTTCCTGTTCACTGACATGTTTATAAAAATTATTCAAATGTAAAATAATTAATAATCAAGCATTGATTAGTGAGGAATAAAGCGTACAGAATATAATGGGTTACTGATTCTGTAAAGCAGAAGCAGACTGGCAGATATTCTCCAGATGACCACCTGACAATGCACAGACTGTACGTGTAATATACAGAGAACGTTTAATTCACAAAACTAGTTCTTTTACAAACAATGGGATTAGAAAGGTAGGGTGGCAACATGGTACTGCAGGGAGAGAGGACTGAGAGTTGGGGGAGGGGGTATTTAAAAGTTAAATAGGGATTATAAGGAATAATGGTCAACAACACAATGTCCTTGTAGAAATTAGTCCTTTCAGATCACAGCTCCTGATATCTTCATAATGTCACTGTCCTGGATGTAGCAGTAGCAAGCTAAAATTTAGGGCTAGCTGATGAATTACCCGTTGGGCCTACCACTGAAAAGACATTATCCACACCACATATAAAGACTGTAGTTAACACAGCTTTGAGTCTTATAACTGAACATCTGATTCCAGTAAGTGACAAAAATATAATACTGTTTGGTTATTTGATTTTATTCTCTGAAATTTGATTCTATAAAGTGGCTGATTCTAATAACCAGTTATCATAAGAGGCCATGCCTTGCATGTGTTCAGATACTTTTATGAGATAACACAAATGGAAAGACAGACATTACTTCTCTGTAATGTTCATTTGGTGTAATTCATGCAAAGAATACATAAATAATTACTGAAATCCCTTTCCAACGCACCTTGTCTTGTTCATGCATTCACAGTGTAGAGTACTGAAGCATTCTCCTGAGCAATTAATTTCATTTCAGGTACATTTACACAGATGCAATCAACCTGCAATCTTTTGATCAGGCATGTGAATTATGCTATGTGGCAAAGAAGTACATGCTGCCACATTTGGTGGGAGAATGCACAAATTATTTGTGGCAAGATTTATTCCCAAAAAATGCCTGTAGAGCATATGAGTTTGCAAAGCTGTTTGAAGAACCTGTGCTTATGGATAAATGCTTGCAAGTAAGCATGAATGTTTTGTTGTGTTGTACTGAAGTAATATTCTCTATCAGTAATCCACTTCTTGCATTAACAGAAGTGTCACAGAGTGAAGGAAAGCATGGAAGACAGTAGGTGGCAATAAAAGTCATATGGATGTATAATTTACATGCTAAACTTATATATTGAAAATGGAAGTAAGAATACTGTGCAAACTTGAAGAATGTGAAAAAATCAAGAATCTTGAGAAAGTTCAGCTTTGAAACTTTGAATGTTCATACACATTCAAACCTTAATGTTTTGTTGCATTTCAGATTATTTGCTTAGAGACAGAAGCTGTGCTGCAAGAACCTAGTTTTGAAGAAGTTGAGCTGTCAACACTAATTGTTATCTTGGAACAGGATGAGTTGACAATCAGTTCAGAATTGGAACTATTCAATGCAGCTCAGCGCTGGGCAGCATGTGAATGTGTTCGTAAAGGTATGTCTCAATTCTTGCTGCAGAGCTGATGAAGATCACATGAATAGTGAACTGGCAAGGATTACAGAGATACTGTTATTTATTTTAGAAGATAGCTGTTATGTCCTTGTAGGCTTAGTATTGTATGTATGACTGGACCTCTGCTAGATATGAGCGATCACAAAAGTTCTCATGAAGTCTTTAGCTCTTGTCTTTGTGGATCTTATGCTGAAATAGTTGAAGCATTTGTTTTCATATAAACTGATCTATTATGACAGCATGATAAGTTAAATCTTAATTAAATATTGTCACATGTAGGAGTGATAATAGAGGGGGTTTGGATTGGTGACTCAATTTATTGACCACTTATATAACTCATTACTGCACTTCACAAATCACTATCATACAGAGACTAGTGTTATGTTTGTTACAGTCTCCACTAGTTGTTTCCTGGTAATGGAGTTTAACACTAATTATAACAGTCTCACTGAATTACACACTCCAAATATCACTGTTAACTACAGTACACATAAAGTCTTCTCTTCACAGCCTGACTTTGAACTGACTAGCTCCCAGGCTGGTGGCCATTTCACACCAATCTCCTAGTCTCTTCACAGACTGATTTTCAACTAACTCAGCTTTAACCTTGCCCCTTGCTTATAACATTTCATCCTGGACCACATAGAAAACACCGTTCCTCTGTAGCCACGTGAACATGTTTCCTGAGCTGTTCTCTAGCAGCGGCCATCTGTTCTAGCTTATTAAGAATCTGCTGCCCAGCAACAGATGTCATTCCGTCTGTTTTGTGGCTGTTGCCTAGAAATGAATGTTGTTTCACAGCTGTTTACTAGCAACGGCTGTTTCCTTAGCTCCACAGTTTTTGCTTTGAGCAAATATGCTTATATATATATATATATATAAGCATATTTTCTTATGTGTGTATACAGGTGTTTCACGACTTTAGGGTATAACTGTAGGAGGTGATTTCCTAGGTCTTCATGATCAAAAATGTTCATATAAACATGTGTCCAATTTTGGACAGTTACAGAGTTATGACTGTTTTTTCATTCCCGTACATGCCCTCGTGTGAATCGCGTCTATGATCTGGCAGGTCGCTATTTTTAGCCAGCTACAGACAGTGTTCTCGTTATCTCGACACTTGAGAGGTACCTAAGGTGTGGTGGGTTGGTATGTAAGGCCATGGCTAGTGTGGCGGCTACTGCTGTTCAGAACAGTTCTCATCTCGGTGCATCTGTTACGTTCACGATGCCATTTACACTTTCATTTGAGGAGTATGCAGATATGATTTATGTGTATGGGTTTTGTGACGGTAACTCAGCTCTTACCATAGCTGAATATCAGCAGCGGTTTTCGAATCATAGAATACCAAACCAGAGAGTGTTTACTGGAGTTTACCAGGCATTGCGAGATACCGGTAGACTTCCCGGCGTTCGTATTGCAGCCGAGCGTGGTGTTAATGAAGGCGTCACTGAAGAAGGCATAGTTCGTATGGTACACTGCAGTCCACGTACAAGTACGTGAAGAATTGCCAGCCAGGTCTCCAGACTTAAGCCCACTGGATTATTGTGTGTGGGGATGGAAGGAAGAACTGGTTTACAATGTGAAGGTGGCAACGCAAGATGCTTTGCTCAATCACATTCTGGATGCCGCTGACCACATAAGAAACAGACAGCTGAAGCTGCTACGTGCTACCCGCACAGTTCACAACCAAGCGGCAGCCTGCGTTGCGGCCAGTGGTGGCATTTTCGAAAATCAGCCTTAAGCACCAGTCAATTCAAATTAAAGGTAATTTCATGAAGTTAACTTTACATTCATACTTTAAATGTATCATGTATTATGC